AATCCCAGTGAGCCCTCTGGTATGGGGGCGAGTGGTGGATGGGGGGCAGGAGGGACTCAGCCAACTCCGAAAAATTGCTCTTTAAGGAATGACCATCTGATGGGCTCACCTCCTTCACAGGGTATAACCATCCTCGTACTCCCCTAAGATGCCCTCGAATGTTGGGAGGACCCCAGAGTCAGTCAAGTCTTCACTCGAAACACATAGTAGGGTTCCAGTCAAGATACCAACCTATAGGACCACTATAAGAAGGGCCCCATTCCCAAACTCCTGCTCCTGGAGGATGAGGAATTACCTAAGCTGTCAACTCAGAGTCCTCTGTATATAGACCCCAGGCTCAGTGGGTCCCCAGTGCAGCACAGGGCAGCACAGCTCACAGGAGGGCTCCCCAGCAAGCAGCAGCCCACAGCGCAGAGCCTCCAGGCTTTCTCATCAGCCTGACAGGTAAGAAGCAGGAGGGGGAAAGGGAGGGGTGGGGCTTAAGGTTTCAGGAGTCAAACATCAAATATGTGAAGCCTGAACGCTCATTACAAGAACAAATATTGATGGGTAAGAAAAATACACATGTACATGGCTTGTTTTTATACAGACACACTAACGGGATAATCCAGAAGTGACCAAAACTGGTGGAGGGTTAATGGGATAAGAGTACAGGAGCAGAGCAGGATATGCTAGCAGTGAGTCTTCTGAAGTTAGTTTCCCATCTTAGGAATTTTTTTTTAACCTCTCCTACATTATTTACTTAAAATATGGAGAGAAATTTACATCTGCCATATTTTCCTATGCTTAATCATTATTTTTTATTCACTTTTGCTTTTTTTTTAAAAGATTTTATTGGGGAATTAGGCAAGGGGAATAGCGTTGGGGAATCGGGGAAGGGAACAGACAACCTGCTGTTCTTTTGTTCTTCAGTCTAGTTGTGGAGGACATCGCTTCACTGGCCCATGTTGGTATCATCATTGCGCTCTTCCCAGGTAAGGCAGTTGCTCCCTGGCCACTCAGAGCGGCTCACAGTGGCTCATGGTGGCTCACAGCGGCTCATGGCAGCTCATGGCAGCTCACAAAAGCTCACGCCCGCTGACGGCCAGCACCACTGCAGCCTATGCCATCCCCAGCGACTCATGGAAGCCCAGCTCCAAGTCGAGCTGTTGTTCACCATCTTAGCTGTAGAGGGCAGTGTCACTGGCCCTCATGTGGGATCCAAACCAGGTCCCTGCTGCTCAGAGCTGATGTCCCAAACCAACTCCTAACCAACGCGCCACTCGGCGGGCCCCACTTTTGCTTTTTAAAATTAATGTAATTTTAACTTTCTACATAGGAAACCACTCCAAGATTTAATCCTTTAAACACTAATGGATATAAAATCAGAGACCATAAAATATTTACAAATCTTCTAACTAAAAGGACAAGGGGCATAATAGTTTGTCCCTCCACTATATATCACAGTGGGGATATTTTAAAAAATAAATCGCATATTATAATGCATTAAGGGTTTGCAATTAACCCCTGAAAAGGACTAGGAATTATACAGATTTACATAAGCTTTGAATTGTTTTCCTCAATAAAAATAGAAATTCAATTGCTTTTTCTTCACATCCATTAAAATAAATTAGGAATACTATTGCCCTTTAAATGTCAAAATAGGCTAGGGAGGGGCACAAACAATCATGTACTAAAAATGGAAAAAGCATCTGAGAACTTAAATACACCCATCTCACATCTTGAGGTTCTCCTACCTAATGAAACAAAAATTCTCTTTGGTTACACAATCATCTTGCTTTATATTGTATCTCTCAATCGACTTACTGTTTTTTTTTTTTTAAATAAGTCTCTTTATTTAGGATTCAGAGGTAGAATGGCCTCTATGAAAGCAATAGGGACCAATACTCACAAAGGTTTAAACAAGATGGTGGCTTGGACAGGACTATTCTGTCTTTCTGGGTGGAATTCGATGGCAGAGCCAGAGCAGAGTCGTACAGCTTGGAGAAGTGAAGCTGAGAAATGTGGTAACCTGACCACACCAGCGCCCTAGGAAGAGCGGAGTGGAAAAGAGCTCTCCTGCGCATGTGTATAACAGGGGGATGGGTTTTGAGACAAGAGGCCCACCCTACAGTGCAAGTTTTCTGAAACACGTGAGTCACTAAGTCCAGTTAAAGTGGAGATGGGGTGTTTCATACGATGCATGTAGACGAGAACGAACTTATATTTTAAACCCCCAAGTGCTCATGGAAACTAGAATCAAAGGAGTGCAATATTAAACTGAGATAGGAATCCAAGAAAAGAAACAAATATTGGAACCAAAACAAATACAAAGCCTCCTACCCTACATTCAGAAGGAAACTCACATTCAGAATGTTGAATATATTCCCAGTTGAGACAGAACCCCTAGAGTGGGTCAGTCCCAGGCTTCCATTTTCTTAAGTGAGGAAACTCTCAGCCTGATTCAGTTTAACTTCTGACCCAAATGAATTCTCAAATCATAAACCCTTTGTCCACAAGACAGAACACCTGATCTTCACAAACTTTCTCACTGTGCTCAGATCACACTCTGAGTGCACCTATACTGTGGATGCAAAACTCAAGCGTAAGATCTAAAAATGTCTAGGCCTAAAAAACACAACCACAACCTCAGAAAGGGTATCCACCCCTCCGCCCCCCACCCCACCCCACCAACACATGTGCACATGCACCCCCAGCTCTCCAAGGCAGTAGCTTCTCTCAGTGTAAAGGCCCCTCCATGGTGGGTGTGAGCAGGTAGGACAGCTGCAGGGGAGGCTCTCCAGGAAGAACCACTGGGCCTTCAAGTGCTTCCCTTTGCAGGCTCAGGGGAGTCAAAACTTGGGTCACTGACCACAGGCCTCTGCTCTCCACTGGAGGTACTTTGGAACTTTGGAACATCACTAATACTTTAAATGACAGAAATTCAGTTTTTGAACAATTCAGCAAAATCACTTAAACCCAACATTTACGTGGAAAGGAGGAAAGAAAATTATAAAGCATTTTTACTAGTTCCACCAGAAAACCGTAAATATCTATTCCTTTCAGAAAACAGATAAAAAAAAATACAGAAAATACAAAAAAAAGAAAAGTAGATGTCTGTTTATTATTTCCATGGCAAGAACAGGCCTCAGAAACTTAACCACAACAGCTCAGGGAATGAAAGAGTGAAACCGGAATTCTTCACAAATAAAATGTAATACAGGAATATTTTATTTTTTCTGAAATTCCTATCTTTCTTGCCTGATTGGACATACTTTAAACTGTCTTTGAAGCTCTATCAACCAAATACATTTTACCCTTACCAAAAAACAGACTTAAATAAGTGAATAAGTTTTTTCAAGGTGACAAACACACGGAGCGACACTGCTGACAGGAGAGAACACCAGGAAACATTAAGAGGAGCCTCCACCCAAAGGCCTTCCCAAAGGACGTCTGTGCCCAGGGAAGGTCCTGGGGGGTCAGGCACAAGGATCTCGTGCAAAGTAGTTCCAGGTGGGTACTTTGTTTTCTCTCATGTAAAATACGCGCGGACAAATATAACCTTTAAAAGTGGGCCATCATGGCTCTCTGGGGGTAAATGATATCAGGTCTTTTTGAAATACATCCGAGAGGTCAAATAGTTGATAATGATGCTGTGAATTGGTGAGGCGAGTCGGTGTTTGGGAACGAGGGAGGGATCTCAAATTTAGGGATTTATTGCCAGTCCCAGGAGAAGCTAGATTGGGGGGATAACAGGGTCCTGCTTCTCGAATATTTGGAAAACTCAAGAGAAAATGGCCTGCCCCTAAAGAAACAGGAGAGACTGGGGACCCCACAGACCACAGCTCCTCCTACGTGCGAACCCCCGGAGACCAAGTCACGACTGTCCCTCTTTGATACGCCCCCTCCCTCCCCCACCCGCACCCCATCAGACACGACTCCCGACTGCGAGCGCAAAGCTGCCCAAAGAGGCTCCTGGGGCAGGGCCGAGGTCGCCGCGCGTAGTGACGGGACAGGACGCCGGGGGCTAGACTGCCCGCCCTGCCCCCACGCTGTGTGCCGGAGGGGACCAAGGTCCTAGCGGCGCCCGCGGCGGACTGGGGTCCGCAGACTCCGGACTTGACCGTGGGGAGGCCCAGGTCGTGCCACGGCCGGCCCCTCCTCCCGGTCTATTGACCCGGCCTGCGCACTCACCATTTCTGTTTCCTGGGTCTCCTTGAGTCCTTCCTACGACTCCTACGACTCCCACGACCAGCGCAGATCACAATGCAGATCACAGCGCGACAAAGGCTGAGGCAGGACCACCAGACACCGTTAAGGCAAGAACACCAAGCGAGCCCCAGCACCGCTGGAGCGAAAAGAAACGTAGACGCCGCTTGGGTGCGTCGTCCCACCCACCTGCCCCAGCAGCACCCTTGATTGGACAGTTCCCTAAACCCCATCTCTCTCGTGCCTGAGTGACAGCAAGCGGGATGAAGCTAAGCTCATCCAAACCAGCCTGAGCTGTAGGGAGAAACCTTACCAGGCCTGGCATGTTTGCATTCAAATAGAACCTTTTCCTGGCCTGAGGCTGACTCCAAAGTATTCGTCCAGTTCTTTGTGAACACTTGGACACAGACGTGCACAGGGAAGTCCTGACTGAGTTTGCAAGTGAAACAAATAAGTACAGAACATGAGAGCGACCCCCGCCGGGGTACACTGGAACAAGAGGGTCTTAAGTCTTCTAGGGGTCAAGGTCTTGGCGTAAGGCTGGGAATCCGCTCATGAAATTGTGACCCTTGTTTAGAAACACAGACACTGAAATGTGACCTCAGCATCTGTAATAACGAGTCTAGCTCCATTTCAGTTTTTGATGCTTCCCAGGCTTGAACCTTACACCAGTGCCTTCCCCACTCCACTCATTGGGTCCTTAAGAGAAAAAAATCCCTAAGCACTTGGCTCTCTGGTGGGAAGTTGGACACTGCAGCCCCAGCCTGAACTGAGGGACTCTTCTCAGTCTAACCACATGGTGTGAGATGCGTTCACTACATTATCAGGTGTACCTTTTACACTGGCTGGAAGGAAATTTATTTTAGATCAACTTTTGCTGAGTCCTTAGAGAACTTAGAAATATAAATGACTGTAATATCCTTAAGACAATCGATTCCTATTTTTACTGATAAAAGAAAAACAGTAAGTCATTATGTAAGGTTACAATACATCCGGAAACTTTCTTGCCCCCCAGCTTTAGGTATGTTAAAAACAAAATTCAAATGAGCAAATTTGAAGATCTGATTGGCTTTAGTTAGCAATTAATGAATCAGGCAGTATTCCATCTAGCAACTAGAAGGGTGCTCCAAGGATTGCACAAAAAGGAAGGTTTTATAGGAGGAAGGGTGGGGCAAGGGAGCTGTTAACAAAAGAAAAGTGAGGATTATTTTTAAAACCGGGACATCTTGTTTTGGGAGCAAGGGAATGGCAAGAGTTTTTCATGCAAATTGCCTCCTCTTTCTATGTGGGGGCTGTGGATGAGAGAGCCTATGTAACAGATTATCTCATTAGTGTTAACTAGAGCATTTCAAACTGGTTGATTAAGATTGTTTCTAGGAGAGACTGAAACAGCAGTTAGGTCAGGTATTAAATCTAGGTTTGGTTCATGGGCTTTAGCAATAGTGAAGGCCTTTGGGACTCTGGTTTTCTCTTTAACAGGTATAATTAATAAAATTGTCCACATTTAAAGATGACAACATGACGACTTGATATATGTACACTATATTGTATACTTGAAATTTCTAAAATAGTGAATTAAGCATTCTCACCACACACACACACACACACACACACACACACACACACACACACAAAGTAGCTATGTGAAACGATGGATGTGTTAATTAACCTGGAAACTCTAATATGTCTAACAGACTGGATTGCAAAGCTCTTTTGCATTTTAAGTCGGCCAAGTGGCTCAGTTGGTTAAGAGTTAGCTTAAGAGTGCGAGCTCTGAGCAATCAGGGCCATTGGTTTAATTCTCACATGGGCCTGTGAGCTACGCCCAAGCTGAGCTGCTGCTGAGCTGCCAACAGGTGGCAAGATGGCTCAGATGGTGAAAGCACGTGCTTCTAACAACAAGACTGCCTGTTCCATGGTGGGCTATACCCACCTGCAACTAAGACTGAACTTGGCACCTTGAGCTGAGCTGCCGCCTGGATGGCTCAGTGGATAGAGTGTGCACTCTTAACAACAAGGCTGCTGGTTTGACTCCTGCATGGGATGGTGGCTACACCCACTCACAACTAAGATTGTAACACAACACTTTGAGCTTAGAGGCCACAAGCTGCAGACTGGCAGCCAGATGGTGACTGGCGCCCGCCACAACTAAGACTGAAGAACAACAACTTGGCTGGTTCCCTTCCCCAATTCCCCAACACTGTTCCCCTCCCTCAATTCCCCAATTAAAAAAAAACAACTCCTTTGCATTTCAAAGTTCTCAATGCATTTATTTATTTCAATAGCTTTATTGAGATATAATGCACATACTATGCACAGCACCTTGTTAAAGTGTACAAATTCAATGGTTTCAGCATATTTGCAGATACATGCAATCAATTTTTGAACATTTCATCACCTCAAAAAGAAACCCCCCTCCTCTTTAGCTATCACTCCCAGTCTTCCCATCTTCCTTCTCCAACCCCCAGCCTTAGGCAACCCTTAATTTACTTTCTGTTATTTGTAGAATACCCTTTTTGTGGCTTTTGTCAATGAAAATAAGCTGAATCTTTGAAAATATTAGGAACATTTTTATTTAGGACCTTGCTTGAGGATTATATCTTGAGAGAGAACTTTAAGAAGCCTTGAAACAGTTCCAACTTCAGAAAAGCAGTTGTGGGGCACTCTCAAAAGGGGAAAATTATTTTGGAGTTTGACAGCAGCAGTGACATTCAAAGAACTCAAATAAGTGACTCAAATGATCCCTCAGCACTCAGTTTTTGCCTTATTTTTGACAATACTGAAGCTGTCAACATTTAAGCCGATCAATTATCCTTATTAGATCAGCTACCAATCTCCTGATGGGCAAAATATTCAACTGATATTGGCAGAATTCATAGTGTACCACCCATTAAGATGCAAACAGATCCATCCAAACCTTTACAAGAGTAAATTGATACCCCTTATACAAGGAGACACTACAAGGCATAGTTACTCTTATGTTTAGGTCTTTATCTTTTCTGGGGAATTATTGTATGTTGTGTCATGAAAAAATACAGCCTCTTGCTTCTGCATATGGCTATTCAGTTGGGTCAGCACCGATTTATGAAAAGAGTATTCCTGCCACATTCTTGGAACTTTTTTCAAAAATCGGTTGACCATAGATGTATGGGTTTATTTTTCAAGTCTCAATCTATTCCATAGAACTATAGGTCTATCTTTGTGTCAGTACCACACTCTCATCATTACCACTGCAAATTACAAAATTTTGAAATCAAGAAATTTTAGTCCTCACATTTGGTTTTTATTTTTCAAGATTGCTTTGGCTACTCTGGTTCCCTTGCAATTCCATATAATTTTACAAAACAGCTTGCCAATGTGTGTAAAGGAATAAGCTGAGATCATCATAGGTATTGTTTGACTCTCTAGATCATTTGGGGAATAGTGCCATTTCAACAATGTTAAGTTTTCTGATCCATGAAATTGGGATGTTTTCTCATTTATTTATACAATTATTAATTTCTTTAGTGCATGTTTTGTAATATTCAGAATATGCATTTTGGTACTTTTTTGTTAAATTTATTCCTAAGTATTTTATTCCCTTTGATTCTATTGAAATGCATTTCCTTTATTTCATTATCAGACTGTTCATTGCAAGTGTATAGGAATACATTGATTTTTATATTTTGACCTTGAATCCTACAACCTTGTCTAGTAGTTATTTTAGTGGATTCTTTAGAGTTTTCTATATACAAGATACCTCATTTGGAAGTGGTCTTCCTAGCCAATCTGCATGCATTTTATTTATTTATTTATTTTTTTGCCTAATAGTTCTGGCTAAAATCTCCTGTAAATTGTTGAATAGAAGTGACAAGAGGAGAGAGACATCCTTTGTTACTTATCTTTGGGGGAAAGCATTCAGTCTTTAAATATTAAATATAATATCAGCTGTGAGTTTTCCACTGATGCTCATAACAAATTTTGGAAATTTCCTTCTCTTCTGGGTATGCTGAGTATTTTAATCATGAAAAGGTACTGGATTTTATCAATTATTATTTTTTTAATCTATTTAGATTATTTTGCCACTTCTGCTTTTTACTCTACTGATCTTATTTATTACATTAATGGATTTTGAGATGTTAACCCAACCTTTCATCCCTGGAATAAATCCCACTTAATCAAGGTGTATCATTCTTTGTATATGTTGCTGAATAGGGTTTGCTAATATTTATTAAGGGGTTTTGCATCCACATTCACAAAAGAAATATGTGTGTAGTCTTTTTTTCTGTGATAACACTTGTTGGGTTTGATATCAGAGCAGTACTAGCCTCACAAAATGAGTATGAAGTGTTACCTTTCTATTATTCAGAAGACTTTGTGAAGAATTGGTAACAAACTTTTATAAGTTTTGGAGAATTCTGTGTTGAAGCCATCTGGGCCCAGGCTTACTTTATGAATGTTTTTTCTTTTTTATTTACTAATTCAACCAGTTCACTTGTTATAGCCTATTCAGATTTTTCACTTATTCTTGAGTTATTTTCAATAGTTTGTGACTTTTGAGGAACTTATGCATTTCATTTATCTAATTTTTTGGCATACAGTGGTACATTGAGTTTTTTAATAATTTTAACTGAAGCTATCCTACTTTGAGCACATCATGAGAAGGCAGGGTTCTTTGGAAAATACAATAATGATGGAAAAAATAAAAGGCAGCAAGAAAAGAGGAAGACCAAATATGAGACAAATTGACTCCATAAAAGAAGCCTTAGGCTGAGTCTATAGGAGCTGATCAGGGCCATTGGGGACAGGGCACTGTGGACATTACTCATACATGACGTCATCAGGAGTTAGAGCTGACTCAAAGGCACACAATCAGTAGTAATATCCCACTTTCTTTCTGATTCTGTGAATTTGAATCTTCCCTCTTTTTCTCTAGATCAATCTAGCCAAAGATTTCTTAATTTTGCTAATTTTTTCATAAAACCCACTTCTGGTTTCACTGATCGTCTCTATGGATTTTCTAGTCCTTATTTCATTCATTTCTGCTCTATTTTTAAATTTTCCTTTTCATTTTGCTTTGGGTTTTGTACCTTATCTTTTTTTTTTAAAGATTTTATTGGGGAATTGGGGGAGGGAACAGTGTTGGGGAATCGGGGAAGGGGAACAGACAAGTTGCTGTCCTTTTGTTCTTCAGTCTAGT